TACTCTAGAATTATTAGCTTTTTTCTCCACTCTCCTAATTGAGTGGTAGTAAATATCCATGCCTACTGCTTTCCTTTTTCTGCTTTTTTAAAATTATTATTATTATTATCAGTAGTGTGCAGTTCTAACATTTGATGCACCAGCTTTATTTAGACTTGGTATAATTTTCATGTGTAGTCTCTCTGATTGATCGGACATATTGAACTCGGTTGGTAAAGTTAGGCAGAGAGATAAGAAAGGCACTTGTCTGTACGTGACAGATAAGATACTCCCCTCTAACCATGAATATTAAACCTGAATAGAGAGGCCATCGAGGAACAACAGAAACCAACTCCATGCTGGTAGTAGCAAGTTTAATTCACAGATTTTAAACAGGATCAGATTTCACATCACAGCACACATCTCTTACAGCAAAACACACAATAAACTTGTACAAACCCAGTCAGTTCATCATCCACGTGACTGTAACTAAATTAAAAGGTTGTGGAGAAAGAAACAGGGTGAAGGGTTGTGTAGTGTATTGTAATGTAACTAGTGTAGAAGTAGTCGTTGGTAAAAGTATTCACCTCGTTGTATTTTGTTACCTTACAGTCTGGAATTGAAATAGAAACAAGAGTGACACTCTGTCTAGTGATGACGCACGTTTATGAAGTTTCATTAAATTATTAAGAGCATACCAGAAGTTACGGCATGATAAAACTGAGCGTTTTGATCATAAGCTAACACCAGTCCTACAGTGAAGCACGGTGGTGGCAGCATCATGCTGTGAGGCATTCAAAGAGACTTGTTGAAGGGATTGCTGCAAAGTAGCAACTTTAGGTGAATATTTTCTCTCTTTTTTTTTTTTTTGGTCTGGCTGAAAAATGGCATGTTGATTAGAATATTGTATCTTATCAAAAGCACGCGTCATATTTGTGAGATCTTAATGCGTCGTGGCTGCCGACTGCTAAGATTGTTCCTTTGTGATAAAAGGTCACTTAATCTGCATCCTGTTGTCTTATCAACTAATATAAACTTCTTGCTTTGCGTCATCTCTTTGCCACGTCACTTATTTTAAATCGATTCATCGAGTCCTTTGTTTCAGAAAACAAGGAGCCTTTTAAATTCCACGCTGGAAGGCAACAAACCTGGGAGCACGTCGACAGGAGTGAACCACTGTGCACGTGCAGGTTTGAGATGCTTTTAAATGCGTTACAGTAATTACAAAACCTGAGAGCATTCAGGCGGAAACCGCTAGAAGAGCCATGTGCACGCAGTCATTTTAAAAATTATCCCTTTTACCGAGGAAAGGCCATTAAAACAGATCATACTGTAAGTTAATTAAACCATGGCTTTAATACGTGTCAAATACAGAACTATTAGTCCCTGAATCACTCATTACATGCAGCAAAGTCCAATTAATAATAAACATCTTAGACGCAAAGTAGAAACAAAAAGACTTAATGTTATAAACTCCCCCAAACAAAAGAATTAAAACGAGCAGGTCTCGATCTTTGGGTGTATGAAATACATTCACTCGTTTTAGAAATGCTGCCTCTCAAGTGCCCTCAAGCTGCAGCTCAGAGACGATTAGTACCAGAACCAACTGTTCTGTTCGGTTTTCCCGACTCGTGACCAAAAACTTGGAGGAGAATCTTTAAAATCGAAACCTTTGAAAGTATTTGACTGAAGTCTTTAACCTCAAAAACACATGAAAAAATGAAAAGATTTCTCCTCAGACCAAAATTGTTGTAAATGAACACACAAACAAAAAAAAAACAGTAAGGAATCACTTGAGGTTTTTTCACATCGGTGGTGCAGGGCAATAATTTAAAAAGTCGCCTTTTTCAGTAAAAATAGGAGTTAAACACAAACCAGGTGTTTGTCATAAAATTAAAGCGAAACATAGTTTTAGTCGCTGCTCTTCTAAACCTGCAGGTTTTAATAAATGATTAATTTACTTCCTGTTTTACCGGTTTTGTTCAAATGCTCGAAACTACAGGAAGCTTTGGAAAAACTAAAAACGTGATTTGGTGTAAATTGTATTAGCGCTGTAAGCAAAGCCTGCTCGGTTTAATGAGAACAAATAAAGATCTTCTGCTTACAACAGATTTTGATTACATTTAACATCTAACAGGCTTTCAGTCGTGCGGACGGCTGTTTTCCACAGAGCCCTCTAGGAGTCAGGAGAGAAATTCAAATGTGAGGTTAAGATTCAGAGTAACTTCATCTGCAGGTGTTGTGCTTCGTTTTGTTTTCAGTGCAGATGAGGGTTTAGGGATCGCCTACAAAACCGCACAATCAGGCTGTTGCGTTTAATAATTCCACCACAATCAATCTGTTTTTAACCAGATCACATCAAATATTTATTCATCAGACAGATAAACCAGAAAGAGACCAGTTTGGATAGTTCTGGACCATCGTCGCTGGTTTATTGACCGTTCCTGAACACTGTGTGGAATTTGACGTTTTGATCAAAATGAGTAAAATGTGTATCGTCTTCCTTTTCTGCATTTGACAGGTGGTGATGTTTGTAAGTTTGATTTAATGTTCAGAAGTTAGCGATTCAGAAAATTAGCCGTTAGCAAATTCACACATACAGAATAAAAGTTATAGTTTAAAAATAACTCAACTGAAAGATTCTGAATCTTGGTTTGATAAACGGAGGAAACTGATTCTTAAGACCTCAAACTGATTTCTACTGTGACGCTGAGGAGGTTCTGTAGTATCCAGAGTCAAACCAACATGAATGCGATTAGTTTTGAACTTTAAGACTGTGCAATCAGACCATTGCAGCCCAAGTACACAAGATAAAACCAGTTAAAATCACTCGGGTTTTCATCATTAGAAATCATGTCCTGCTTGAAGACACTTGCTGCTCTTCATGAGTTAAGTGTGCATTTGTTTTGCTGTCAGTTCAACATTTCCGTCCGTGGCTAATAACTGGAATATGACGAGAGTAAGTCGGTCATTACACACTGACCTCCCTGTCACACAGCTCTGATTCACAGTAAGCTAAAGTCACTTCTTACTTCGAATTTCCTGAAAGGCTTTGGAGCCACAGAAAGTCAAGTTTTAGCAGAAAAAATAAATTAAGACTGAAACTTGCAGCCAACAATAAACAGTATAACCAATAAGAGGATTTAAAAACAGGAAATAGTGACGTATGATGCCAGTCCTGTCAAGTACTGAACAATGAGATGATTTCCATTAAAGTGCAACAAACTGAATGAATAAATAAACACTGTAGCTGTTGTTTAGTGTAAGAAACACAAAACTGAATGAAAAGGTAGGACGGAGGGACGACAAGAGGAGAAAACCGCAGAGCAAAGACAAAAAAACAGAAGACGATGGTCACGTCAGGTTCGTCACTCTGGAGCTCCATTTGCTGTTCCTGCCGTCCTCTCTTCATCGCCCTGTTTCTGATGCTGCAGTCTGGCGTAAGTTACAGCGTCGCCCCTGAGAGACGAGGACAACAGGACGCAGAGGGACGGTGATAAAAAAAATTAAAAAAAAGTTGGCCAAAAAGAAAAAGAAAAACAGGTGGGGAAAAACAAAAAGCGGCGTCAGCAGGAAGGTAAAAAGTAATAAAAGACGTGTTAGAAGGTTAAAACGTAAATCGTGTTAACGTGTGCTGCGTTTAAGTAAAGCGACTGTTTTAATGAGATTAAGGAAATAAAGCACGAAGAGACATGAGTAATAATAATAACAACGGTTTGATTTGTTGAATAATAATAAATCACAGAAATGGTCTCACTTTTTGCCCAAGGATGCGAGGCCGTAAAGGACGCCTGTGGCGAAGGCGATGGCGTTTCCAAACAAAGTTGTGAAGGAGAAACTCAGGAACACGGGAAACAGCGCCATGCTGATAAAATAAAAACAAAATTAAATAATATGCAACATGGTAACAAACATTAGACAAGTAGTCAACTAGAAATAATCACATTTCTAACCGTCTTTACTGAATGTTAATCAGAAAGTCCCAGTCCAGAGTCAAGACATTTTTTATTAAGCAGAGAGCAGCTGTTTCTGTTTCTTTGTTTTTCCTCACCCGCAGTAGAAGAAGGCTTTCTGCCAGGGTTTGAGTTTGTCTGCACGGGCTGCGACTGCATTAGCAAACTCTACGAACTGGCAGCAGAACGGGACCTCACAAAGGAACAGCACGAAGGCATTCAACCTGGAGAGAGGAGGAGGGACGGGGGTCACAAACCCAGAACTAAACCAGTCTGTGCACATCCATCTCCAAAACACTTAAACTAATGCTGGAAGGAGCATTAAACCACAAGCTTTTACACTTAACATTTGGTAAATAAATGAAAAATAAATCAATAAAAGACAAGAAGCAATGTGTGAAATCAGCACTCTCTAAAGTTCCGACTATAAGGCGCATTTAAAATCTTTTTCACAAAAATCGACAGTGTGCCTTATGTATTAATTCTGATTGTGCTTACTGACCTCAAACTGATTTTATGATGTACAGCTGAACAGGCCTGTCGCAATAAACAATAAATCAATTAATCGCATGATAAATGAAAATTATCTACCTCATTTTCATTTATTGGCTTTATCGTTTCTCTGTGTCTCTCTCTCTTTACTGAAGACACTGGATGATAAAAAGCTCATCTCCGGTGTTCTTCACTGACGGCTTCCCTTTCTCTTTAAAATCCATTTTAACTGTCTAAAATCACGTTTTTGTATCGTTAAAAGCAGCTAAGTTGAGAAGCTAAGCTACGAGCTAAGCTACGAGCTAAGCTAACAGGCCGACCTCGGGGAAAAAAATCCTCCGTCTTGTCGAAGCTCCAAAATTCACGGTTAAAACCCGTGCCTTCGTCTAAAAATGTGTTTTTCTCTGCAAAAAGAAGCTGCGAACTTGTTTACTGACTTCTTTTTTTTAATTAAAAGCTTTGTGTGAAAAATGTTATGATAAAGAGCTCAAACCACACCGAGCGTCCGCTATTTTGAGAGCCGAAAAACGAGAGGCAGCCCATGTCAGGTCAAGGTGCCTCCCTCCCATTTTTCTTAGAGACACGCTGCTCGCTCCCTCACTAGCCATCATTCGGTTCAAACAGTCTTATACTGCCATCCGGTGGTCAAAAAAGGTACTGCACTCAAAAACCAACCAACATTTCTTCTTAAATTTGACAATAATTGTCAAATTTCAAACAATATTATCATTTATTGTAATCATTTCAGAGACAATCGCGCAGCAACATTTATTATTGTGACAGGTCTACAGCTGAACAATGTTGAGAGTTATTGTGAATGAGTTGAATAAAGTTTGACTTATCTGACTGTTTTGTTTCACTTAATGCGCCTTAACAGTCCGAAAAATATGGTAGTGTAAAATTTAATTAATTAGAAAATGACTTCCTGTTTTCCTCATAACCATTGGATCTGTAGTAATAAAGTTCAGAGGTCTTTAGAGAACAGGTCAGTCTGAACTAAAATCTTCATATTCCAAAAATGGAATAAAGCTGGATTGAAATTAATTTAGAAAACTAGTTGTTTGTTTGTTTTACTCTGCGTTGGTGAGAGTTGAACTAAAGCCAGTGACTCACAGCACAAAGCAGAATGTTTAGCGTTTGCTGCCCTAAAGCAACGATGTGCAGAAATCTCTGGACTCGTGAAACTCGACTGAGCAAATTTCCACAATGTGCTCAATGAATAATGCAGCGTCACAGTTGGGAAGACTTACACCATCCACACTCCGGCAGCGATGTTTAAAGGGTTCACAGTGACACAGTTCCACACTCCTGAGACTGCACAGGCTGCGTGTTTAGCACAAAACAAAAAGATCAGATGAAGAGAAAACAGACGGCAGCTTTACACTCAAAACATGAAACTTCTTCTACAGATATTTGACTTACAGTGAATGTTCCAGGGAAACTAGAATCTTTAAAATACAAGAATAACATCTATTTTATTCACATTTCTAATAAAAAATGTGACTAATTTATACCAGGCGGCATGTATTTGCACATGGTGCTCAATGCATTTAAAGTAGAAACAACTAATAAGCAGGAAAATCAATTTAAAAAATGCTTTCAACCTCTGCTCTCAGGTAAAATTTTAAATCAACATTTATAAAATAAAACTGTGTCACAGTTACTGTTTCAGACAAGTCGTTGAGGATAACACAGTTTAGATCAAAGTATTTTCAGCTTTTACCATATTTATGATTTGTTTTAAACACTTTCAATGACGATTTTTCATAAAGTGTCGCTCAACTCTAAAACCATAATAAGATCCGTTATTTACCTACAATGTGAAATCTATCAACACCACAATATAAAATGAGATACGGCAGTAATAATAAGACGAGCTCTGGTGTCAGCAGAATATTAGATGTGTTCATAAGATGTGCAGAAGCTGTAAAAATAGACGCGTTTACATTACTGATGTGGGAATTAGAGGCAGAATGTGTTTAGTAAATTTACACAATGCGATGTGAGAGATAGCAGCAGCAGAAAAAAATCCACCAATGACATATATATCAACCAGTTTACATTAACTTCTTACAAAACTGTACTGCTAAAGAGTGACTTACTTTAAAAAAAAAAAAGTCATCGCTTTAAATTAAATGTTGGATACTGACGCCAATTAAAATGAATCAAAAAGTCGCATCAGCGTATGGACAAAATATTAATCAAAAGCTAACAAATACAACCACGTCAGACAATAATATAAAATTGTTCAACGAGTGACTGACTGGAAAGTGGTTGATTTTCATTTTGTCCACTTTGACAGAATATGAATTTACCATAACAAAGCTGATAGTTTTACTGGCAACAGTGTGTATTTGTAATACTCAGAAGGCTTTTGTAACATCTGTCAGGTGTTCAGGGAGAAAGGACGTGAACGAGGTGTTCTATGATCGTCTGCTGCTCAGTTCAATGCTCTGAAACTTACAGATGTTTACAGAGGTTTTAATTTCACCTGCTGTCAAACAAACGTTTTAAGTCCAATTTATTTTTAGACTTATCTTTGGAAACGAGACACATAAGATTACCCATTTATCAAGCTGTAATTTACCCTGTAATAACAATACATTCATTTTTTTTTAAGTAAAAATAACTTTTGTTGTTCCACAGAATACATTGGGCACTGATTCGATGTATTGTAAGGAGTCATACAGAATTAAAAAAAAAATACACTACGTGTAAAAATTAAACAACTTCAAACCCACCCAGTGAAATGTTCAATTTACCCAGAAACATTTTTATATATTGTATATTTATTCATTACATTTCCTCAAAATAAACTGAAACGAGTCTAAACCAAAGTTGGACAAGAAAGCTGTGCTTGGTGCTGAAGTATCACTTTCAGTGCATGCCTTTTTATTGCATGGGAGAATCATCTTCCTCATGTCAGCTTTTTTTATTCAGTAAATAATCTCTGTACTTCATTGCTTTCTGTTTGGAGAATAAACACCAGACATTAAACTCAAGAGTAAGAAAGAAAAGGTCCATGAGAACTGTTTCACCAGACAAGCTCACAAACACTTGGAAAAACCACAGGCCATATCCAGCTCCTTGACACCACCCAGTCCTCTTAATAATGCAGGAGCCACTGAATCTGTAGTGGTTCATGTGATCCAGGGACTGGGACTCTGGTGTCACAGAGGACGGAACCTGCAAAGCCAGAACCTCACAGTCACATCTGTCTCACTGAAACACGTTTCTCTGACGGGTCTGTGTCTGATTATTTAGAAAATATCAAGATATGATGGGTGAGGCAGAGAACAATGAGCTTTTATCTTACTAACCAGATATATTGTCTTTGTTTTAAATGGAGAGTTTTGTTTATGGAGACAAACGCTGCAGAAATAACTGATAAGTAGCTAAAGCGTAATTTGGCTTTTTGGACGTATAATTTGTTCACTTGAATGAATACATAGACTTTGGCATGTACTTACATATTCCTCCCAAAACGCCAGCTGTTTTGCAGAGCCATCTGTACCACCAGGTCATGCCATCATCATCAGGAGCAGGTTTGTTGGGCGCTGCGGTCTCCTCCGTGCTCATTGTACACAGATGTCAGCCCAAATGCTAACTGGCTTACTTACACTGGGTCAGTAACAGGAAAAACAAAATAAAAGTAATTTAAACTTCCCTTTGTTTTAGTGCCAGCTGCCTAATATCACTACCAGCAGCCGCCCACAGGCTGCTCTGTCTCCCCGTCACTCGGGACCCGCTAACCGGCTAGCTTACTGTTCGAAGCATCGCCACCATTTTCCGCCACGAATGGGTAACACCGCGGCTCGGTAATCAACTTTCATCCAGTCATACGAATAAACAAAGATGAACTCGTTAAAAAATGCTTCTGAAAAAATTTCCACTAGTAAATTAAGCTAGTTTTGAGTGAAAAACAGCAGCTCCGTTGTTCTCTACTGAAGGGAAATCTGCCAATCAAAGCGGTGCATTGTGGGAAGGATTTAGACTACGTCACAGTTTGTTTACATGGGCCACTCCGGTTGTAATATCCGGGACTCGCCAAATCCTAAAGTCGTGAGTTCGAACCCAGGTGTCAAGAAAGACATCCAGCGTAAAACAATTATCAAAGCTTTTATTTTACTACGATCATAGGTTACTATTGTAGTTTGCACATTTGATGCAGATATCTACAGATTTTCAAATAAGCTGCATTTATCAAAGTATTTAAATCCAATATGAGAACAACAATAACATGTTGTAAAAGTTATGTTTTTGTTACAAACCTACGTTTATGGCGTAATTATTCTTTCACTCTTATAAGTTAATCAGTTAAAAAATGTACATGTATTAATAGCACAACCTATAGTTTTTTTTCACATATCTAATACCTTGTATGGAGGTTATTTTCAATAAAATATTGGGATAAGAAAATTTTCATGTACAGGTAAATTAATATTAATATATTGTTTTATTTGGCAATTTTTAATGTGCAACTATTAGATATTTGATCTTTGTTTTGCATGACAAAAAACAAACAAACAGGAACTTCTCTTTTTTGTTTCTTCCATTTGTTTTATTATTAAATACTTCATATATTTTATTCACTAATTCACAAACAAAGCATAATGCTACACAATGACTCAGGATATTTATATATGTTGGAAGTGAGTCTAACATGTTGTTCATCTTATTTCTCCCAGCAGCTTTTGATGAAGGAGCGGGTAGACCAGTCTGCAGACTTCGTGTGTTAGGAAAACATGGCTGATTGGAGCCAGTAAGAATGTTCAAAGTATCTGCAAATTTTTGATCCAACTCTACACTGTTAATATTTTTGGATCAGTACTGTTCTGGACATACATCAGAACAATCTACTGGTAACAAAGATCTCTTAATTATGGTGTAGCACGAACAGCCCTAAAATTTAGAATCATCATTACTGACTAGATTATTATCTGTAACTGATCGGCTCTGGCCTCATTCTGAAAACAAAGAAGACTGCAGAGGCTTCAGAGTCCTTCGGCTGGTACTCCTCTTTGCCTCCATCAGCACCGGTTTCATCTTCCCTCTTGGAGCATGGCACAGCATGTCATCGAGGGTCTGCTCTGTCACCTGACCGGCTTGTTCAAGCTGAGTGATAATCTGTTCCACTTCCATCTGAAGTGGTCCGTCTTTAGTCTGCAATCGGAGCAAATCCACCTGAAACAGGTCACACAAGCCAAAGGCTCAACTATTGTACAACAGATTGTTTTAATGATTAAGACAGTTTTGAGCTTGTGTTAAACAAATTTCTAATATCAGCTAAAGACACTTAAAATATATTCTAGTTGTTGAAGTGATTTTCCTTTGGTCTGTCTACATACAAACCCACAGAAACTTGCAAACTCCTATAAATGGTAGATGTAAACAAATAATTAGGAGCAGGTTAAAACACTTCGTTTCTCCATCTTAACTAAACTTCTTGCACTTAAAATATATTTAGTAATCCAGATTTATGTTCCACTTACCACTTCTTGGGAAAACTCAGGTTTTCTCACAAAAGGGCTTTCCGGCTTCATGGCAGTCGACAGGAACGAAACAGCCTCTGAAACTTCTCCTGACATAGTCAGGATAATAACCTAAAAGTCGCACAGGCAGAAAATATAAACTGTTTGACATAAACTGAGGGAACATAAATGTAGAGCAATTGCATGCAGCAAGTTTACCTTAAAGTTTTGGGACATCTTGTGGTCTGCGTTCAAAATGTGTGAATACAGTGATTTTGCCTTTTCTATGTCATTCTAAAACAAAACAAGAAAAAAACAAACTTTTTTTTTTATAATTCATGTATTTCAGCATGAAAAAAAAAAAAAAATACAACTCACCTGCTTTAGTGCCAGCGCAACAGCAAAGTAGCACGCATGTCGGGAGATGATGTGTCCTTTTGTTTGGTGTTCTTCTACGAGATCAATGCAGTTCTTGTAGGAGTCTGCTGTGTTCTGAGAAACAAGCACAAGCATAACTCCAGACAAATCCAAATCTCAAGACATAATGTTAAATTAAAATGTGTATTAAGTGTTTCAAACATTACCAGCTTATAGAAGGTACCAATCGCCAGCAGCACAGTGTCTTTGTTGAAAGGTATACCTCGGTGTTTCATGCTTCTTAGTACATCCATAGCATCTGTGATAACCAATGTCCGGATTATATACACATAATTATTGCAGAGGAAGCTAAAGTTTTATCTGGTACTCACTTTCATATGAGCCTTGGATAAATAACATGTCAATGGCGATGTTAAAAGAAGTGACGTCAATGAAAAATCCTTTCATATTCTGTGCAAAAATAAAAGAAACATCACCAGCCTGAGTAAAGCCACACTTCCTGCTTCAATAACAGTCAGGACTTCCATGTTACTATTCCGACCTCGTCTGTTATTGTTGCTGCAGCCAATCCCTCCAGACCCAGCTCATAGCAAAGTCTCATAAAGATCGGGCCAAACCTGAAGTCTCCGTACAGCATGTTACGGTTCTCCATGTAGTACCTTTTAAGTGTAAATGAAGAAATCAAATATTTACAGTTCTGACAGAACATTTGGTCCAGTTTCTGTTAGAAGTGACAAAGTGAGTTCAAGTGTACCTGTAGATGGCTTCCCTGGCTATCTGCATATGCTCCGAAGTTTCACACAGGTGGAGGAAAAGCTTCAGCTCGTTACGTAGAATCAACTTGTTACTTTGCAACTTCTGTTTGAACCGCTCAATATAATCTCCTGTGAAATTACAGTCAAACAAAAATCAGTTTTTATATATATACTGTATAATAACAATAATAATGTCAGCTCAATTCTGGGGATGTAAACTTTTCTTTTTGTTTTACTCTCTGATCCAGCAGCCTTGCGAGCGATATCCAGCTTGTTTTGCTGGAAATCTTCCAGTTTGATGACATCTTCTGATAACAAATATCTCTTAGCTGCAAACAAATAAAGGAAATGGAAAAACTTTGGAATAAAAAAGGCTAAATGGAGGATTGATGTTTTCATATTTTAAGACAAACCAGACATCTTTGTTGTTGTCTGGCATAACAGTTCCATTTAAACTAGTATTGGAACAAGAACAAGTTTTCTACAAGCAATTATGATCTTCAAAACTCTGGGCAGCAGACGGTTACTACAACACTTGAAAAAAATAAAATAAAGTTCTTTGAAGGAATGCATATCACTAGCTCATATTTTAAATTCCAGGTTTAGATATTTTGTGTTTGGTAAGATCAAATAGCTATGACCATCTTAAATAAATGAAGGGAAAAGCCAAAAGAAACTTACTTTTACTTTTAAAAGGTCTGCAAACAAACAAAAACGCCAAAGACACTTAAACATTTTAGCTAATGCACGTCAAAATGGTTCAAAGTTGTTTAATGTACAAACAGCCGTGTTTACTTCTATCACGTGCGGCTTGTAGCTGATGTTTGCTTCTCGGTTTTTAAAGCGACTAAATGAAGAGACAGTGCACTTATTGTGATTGTTTTCTGTCCTCTTACCTCCAATGCAGCCTTGAAGCCCGGTTGGCTGTGAAACACCACAAAACACTCCTTTAGAGACCTCAGACAGAAAAGATCGACAGATTTTAGCATGGACTCTCCTGAGCAGCGCCATGACACTTGACGGACCGAACCACCCAGACGACAAAGGAGGAGTGCCCGATATACAGTGATTAAATCCCAGTTATTGATTAAAAACTTTTTAAATGTTTATATATGTTCTGAAATTACCTTATAACTTTATTAAAATATATTATTAATGCAAAAACACATAAATTCGCGATAAACTATCTATATTTAGTAGATATTAGTTGGTATCTTCCAACATGGCGCCGTTCGTTTTTTGTTTTACTCGGCAAGGGTGTTTGGATTAATTACGCGTTTTCACGGTTCTTATCAAAAGTCCCTACAAA